AAATGTGGCGAGAAAAACCGTAAAATGGAGCAAAACACATTTCTCAATTAGCAACATAAATTTTGGGCTCAATTGTGGTCATAAGTCAAGGACTACTTGTATCACTATAATATGATATTATACGAATTAAGTGTTCCATGCAATTTGTACATGACTATACATATGTATAGCATACAGTGGTGGGTTCCGGATCCTGGTGCAACTGGTACGGTGCAACAGGGCCTGGCGTCCACCACATGAATGCATGCAGCACACGTGTACACACGCGTAGCACGCGCATGCATCCTTACCTCCTGTTTGGCGGAGTGTCGTGCAGGCGCCGTATGCTCCGTGTGCGGAAGTGCCGAAGAGCTCAAATACAGGTAAGGAGGGCGGGCAAGAGGGTGGGCCCTCTGGAGCACCGCACCGGAATGGTACCCAGTGCTTCCGGCAGGCACCGGTACGCCCGTATCGGGATGTACCGCCTGCAGCCCACCACTGATAGGATACATGCATACCTACAAACATGTACGGACATGTGTAGATTAATGTGTACAGTATAAAACCTGATATAGCTTCTATTTTTCCCCTTTTTACAGATGATCAGGATGCCAAGAGTGATTCACTTCTGTCCACATCCAGAAAGCAAGATCCTCTCATATTGCATCATGAGATAAAGCAAGAAAGTAGCTCTGGGAAGAAGAAAGTGTCTGCAAAAAAACAAAAGACAGATAATGGTAATAAAGTGGATTTTATATCTGATGTTTTAATAGCCACCTTTAGTGGGTGATCTTTCTTGGATTAAGTATTTCTGGGTTCAGAGCCTCAAATTCAATGACAAAATTACTCCCAAATCAAATCAGCATTTCTGCCTTTGTGGAAATGAGGATGTAATTTTGGTGTCAATCCTCAGAGGCTACCTTCCTTTTCAAATGCACGAGGGGAAATGGCTAGCAATATCCTTCTCATGAATCAGATATACTTAGAGGAGACTGAAGTTGGAACGTTCTCTTCCCTCCAGTTGTCCCATAAAATGGAAGACAAAACTGGCAGATCTGGCTTGTGGTATGCATGAAGATACTTGGATTTGGGGAATCTGTGCTTGTTAAATTACATTAATAGAATGCAATCCACTTAGTTTAGAATTCTCCTATTTTACTAATTGTGATAAATGACAATCCTTTTTCACTTAAGGAATGTAACCAATTGCATTCTGGCATAGACTTTCATAGTCTGGAATCCACTTAATTTACACAAAAGATGAATCATTTAACTTTATGAATTGTAAATATTTAATCCATATACTTGAACTGGGCTACAGATTATAGACATTAAGAATAGCAGTATTCAGAGTTCTGTGAGTCTATAGTTTTCTGTGACCATTTGTTTCTAGAACCAAGGAGGTCCTGCATGACAACAGAAAGAAGGTTAGGGCAGAAATAGCATGCTGAAAATTGGTGTCAATTCATAGGCATTCAATAATGTCTTTACTCTTAATGAAGATCTGAACTAACTAAGACATGAATGACAGTTGTTACCTTTTGGTAGAAGAAAAATAAGTGCTTGCTCTTCTTGAATCAATGTATATTCATTCATTTGAATTATATCATATCTTTCCTCTAGAATAGTGATGGTTAACTTTTTCGGCACTGAGTGCCGAAACTGGCTCGCGTGGCAGAGCACCCCAACCCGGAAGGGAGAAGCTCATTGTTCTTAGGGTCACTGGACTTTCTCATGTTGTTGAAAGTAAATACTGTATTTAAGATGGTTGTAGCGCCATCTACTGGAAAGATAGCTTCAACAAGAATTCCTCTGGTAGCTGACCTTAGATTTTGACCAATACAGCACAGCTTAGTCAAATCCAGAGTATGATGATGTGTATGTACTGTTACATATTGCTGTGTTCCCGGGTCATGTGATCATCTTTTGTGATCTTCTGACTAGCAAAGTCAATGGGGAAGCCAGATTTATTTAACTACTCTGTTACTAATTTAACAACCGCAGTGATTCACTTAACAATTGTGGCAACAAAGGTAATAAAATATGGCAAAACTCAGCAACTGTCTTGCTTAGCATTAAAAATTTTGGACTCAGTTGTGGCCATAAATTGAGGACTGCCTGTACTACATTTGGGTTCTGATTTCCCACTTTGTGTTTCCATCTGAGGAATTGCATGTGGAATAAGAAGAGGTTTCTTCTGATTGAGCAACTCTTCTTACTTCTTCACCCATCTTTACCTTTTAAAGCCACAAATTAAAGACACAAAACTCTATGCCACTGTAGTATGTACAATGTCATTAGAACCCTGGGCTCTTTCTTGCTCTTCATATAAAATTAAAATTATCTGCAATCTTGGCATATTAAAGAGAGTGTGCTCTCTTTAGTGTTCTTAATTAAGCAAGATGGCATTTTGAATATTAAAAGTTTTCAAGTTACCCTGTAAATTTGATTTCAGCATGGCAAGTTTGAACCAGTTTTAAAGGCGCATTTGATATTTGGTTAAAAAGAGCAAACCCCTCTCCTTACCAGCATTGATGATGTTATCTAGTTTGGGTAATGAAACATCTGCAAGAAAAAAACCAAGCTCAGACAGCATCAGGGACTCCTCATTGATTAAAAACAATTCTTCTGAATTTGATTTTAATACAGTGTATAATGTATCAAATGCACAGTACTGGCTACCATCTGAAGAGCACCAACTTAACAAATAATCTAGTGTAGGTTTTTAGGATTTTACTCTCAGTATCCTGCAAACTATAGCATATAAGGTAAGATTCTCAAGTGTGACTTTGTTCTCTGACATCTAGGTTTTGTTTAAGCTGAGAATCCTGAAAATTATCATCAGTTTTCATTTGTGCATGGTGCTACCCTTAACCATCACAATAGATTATAAATACTGATATATAATCTAAGACTTAATCATTAATGGTGAATTATTGGAGAAACTGAGGAAAGATGAGTTTAACAACCCTAATATAAAAGCAGTTCTGCAGCACTTTCCATGTGTTCAAAATATTTCATATGCATATTTTTTAAATTCTTATAAAAACTCTTTGTAATAAATAGACGGTATTATTCCTATATTATAGATGTGGAAGACTAAGACTTGGGGAAATGTTTGCTTAAAAATGTGTAGTCAGTTCATGCCAGAGGTTATATTTTATTTGAATATATTCAAATACTATATTGGCTGAAAATTAGAAACAGTTTCTAACTGCTAATTTATATGCATTTTAATATACATTTAGTTTCATTTTGTTGAAATAATATATCAAAAGGAATTTACAACCCCAAACCATCAAAAGTGAACAATAAACAAGTAATAAAAAAATAATTTTATCAACATACTATGTACCTGTTTAAGAAATAACCAAAGTGCCGGTGCATATGTAGCTTGAATTGGAAGAAACCAAGCTACTTTTTAAATGCATGTTACCATGTATTATTGTCAGTATGTTTCCTAAATTTCCAGTTATGACTTTAGTGGATGAACCTTTGATTCGTGCAACAACATATATTCCTCTGATGGATAATGCAGACTCAGGCGTAACAGAGGGAAAGAGAGAAGCAGCTGATTTGGTGAGGCATGATGGTCTTGAAGGACTGCAGAAAACCAGTGTGAAGAAATTGAAGAATGAAACTGATAAAGGTATTGGTGCAAAAGAGAAGGCATGGCCAGGAAAACTAGTTGGTTGTGCTATCTGTTTGTTTCTGTTTGTTTCTGTTTATTAACATTTATAGGCCGCCCTTTTCCCTGAGGGGACTCAGGGCGGCTTACATAAAATGGGGAAGGGGGGGGGTACAAACAATAGACACAAAATAGTACATAAAGATAAAATAGTAAGCAACATTCATACATCATTCGGGTGGGGACAGGTTTTCTTTATCCCCAGGCCTGGCGGGCTAGCCAGGTCTTAAGGGCTATGCGGAANTTGTAGTCATTACTAACTATCTCTTGTACTTTGAGTAAAATACAGAATTTAAATAGAATAGGATAGAATAACAAAGTTGGAAGGGACCTTGGAGGCATTCTAGTCCAACCCCCTGCTGAGGCAGGAAACCCTATACCATTTCAGACAAATGGTTGTCCAATTTGTTCTTTAAAACTTCCAGTGTTGGAGCATTCACAAATCAAATAAATAGTTTTGTTTTAACTTTAACTTGGGTTGTAGTCATTTCACCTTAGAGGAATTTTATTGACTAAAGTTCTCTGTAGGGGAGGTTGCAAATCTATTTCATAAACTAAGGATTTCTTACTTTTCCTAAGGCAAATTAAAAATTGAATTTTGTCTTGCTGCATTCTTTTAAAGATAGTTGATCTTGCCATTAATTTTCTTGCATGAAAATTGATTTTATAGTTTTATAGAATATCTTATGTATCTTTAATAGTTTTATAGAATATGTATCATTAGACTCATCAACTTCTTTAATTTTATAGTTTAAAAGGCAGTGCCTACAAGAAGCAGAAATGGGAGGAAAGGAAGAAGAAGAAAAACAATCTTGGGCATCATTATTTAAAGTTATAATTCTTATATTGGAATGGCTGCTGGTAAATTACAACTAAGAGAAGCAAATCAAAGCAGAATTCTCTTCAATCAGGCATTATGGAATCTGGAGCTGAAGTGAGGAGTAGAGTGAAAAGATTAGCTAGCCTTGAATTGCTGATAGGAAGAAGCCTCTGAAAGCAGATTCTCTCTAAACTTTGCAGTGCTTATCTACTAGTTTCAGTAGTGAGTGCATTAGTCTGTTAAGATTCCTGGCAATAGCAATAAACTACTCTGATCAACACTTTGTGTTGTTCCTGATTCTTTGCTCCTGACGGGCACAGTGAAAAATGGTATTGCTCCTTTTCTCTCATTTTGCTTATTCTAAACATTATAATCTCATTATTGATATTTTTATTGATTTTTTAATAATGACAATCTATTTGGAAATATCATTGCTTCAGTTATATAGCTGTAAAAACACTGCATTTAAGCTTTCTTAATCCTTTTTATTCTCATTTGTCATTTTCTTTGCAGATTTGTTCTTGTAGTTAAGAAAAAGCACAATGGAATTCTACGAGTCTCCCTATTTTATCATCCTAGTACCTTCTGTTGTGATTGCTGTCATCTTCCTCTTTTTTTGGCTTTTTATGAAAGAAACACTATACGATGAAGCCCTCGCCAAACAAAAGAGGGACCAAAAGCTTCTGCCTAGTAAGACTGATAAAAAGAAAGCCGAGAAGAAGAAGAGCAAGAAAAAAGAGGCCCAGAATGGGAACCTCCATGAGTCTGATTCGGAGAGTACCCCTCGGGACTTCCGACTGTCAGATGCTATGGGGTCAGAGGAGGAGCACATTGTTCCTCTTCCATTGAATGTGACAGAGGCCCCCAGCAGTCTCCGGGAGCGCAAGAAGAAGGAGAAGAAACACAAGGGCAACTCAGAGGAACTTGTGCCAAAAGAGTTGGAGAGTTCTAAGCCTGCAGGAAAAAAAGTGGAGCCCGTCCCTGTAACAAAACAGCCCACCCCACCTTCGGATTCAGCTGGGTCCAAAAAAAAGCCTGGACAAAAAAAGCAGAAAAATGGAATAGGTATGACTGTGTTACTAGTTGGGGTTTTTTTTTTGGGGGGGGGGAGGGAGAGATGGCAATATATTAGTTAATTGTGTGAAAGAGCAAGTCACACCGCCCCTACAGAATAAGAGTCATTAGCTGCAGGCTTACAGTTTAAATGGCACGGCTCCAAAGCTAAGAGAATGGGAAAGCAACAGTGAAATTAAGCAAGTTCAGGTACCAGTTTCTAATGTTATCTATGATGATGATGATGATGATGATGATGATCATCATCATCATCATCATCATCATCAT